TACCCCAGTTCTGTGTGCATAAATAAATAATATATTTTTTAAATTATGGTAGATATCAAAGAAACAACTTTAAAGAATCTGGGAACACATAAAAATGTAAGTGCTCACTCTATAAGATAGCAAAACAGAGAGGTCAAATATGCCAGGTAGCATCTAGAAAATTCTACTGTGAGGAAATATAAGTGCAAAGCAGTAAATAATATCTTAATATTATTATTTTATACAACTATTATTGGTTAACATTATTAGTATTATTTCTATAAAATAGAAACAGCTTTACGGCTCTTCTGTAAGGGATCTTGAACCACCATGTAACTAGCGTTGGAAAGCCCAAGCTTGGGAACCCAAAGATTATTCTTTCTTTATCCTCTTGTGTGTCTAAAATGTTAGGGAGCAAAAAAATATAGGAAAAAGAAAAATGTAATTTGACTTGGTACTTGTTTTCTTTTCCTCATTTATCAGTTATAGTTTGCAAAACAATTGTGAGTTAAAGTCACTTGCACTTTTAAATAGACACCTTTTTCTTTTGATTACATGTTATTTTGCCCCACAAATATCACAGTTGTACTCTGATATATCTTTAAAAATGTATGACATAAAAGCTTTCACACATAATACCAACTAACTCCATTCTTTAGCCCCATAATTGTTAGTTAAAAAAAAATAAGTAGCTGAAATCTGTTAGAATGTGATGATTCTAAAATAAGTTAACTAAATAAAATATACATTCCTCAAAGATGTTGGTTGCTTTTTGTGATTATTGTACTTTTCTCCTAATGTTCAATAGATATTACCCATGGAAATGTTAGGTCACCAGCAGAGAACTACAGTTAAACGAGGGCAAAGGCATCTAAGACACACATGTCTCTACTATTCCAAATTTATGACCAAATCCAAGGCTCATCCACACCTAAAAAGGTCATGCATGTTTCCCGCATGCTTTCTACAAACAACTGATAAAATTAACAGAGAGACACTGTAAGCACCAAGCAGAGTCTAGAATCCTTGTGATCTTGCCCTAATGATGCTTTAGTTTTCATTTGACTTCACATAAATCTGTTTGCTCCGAGACTAGATATATCAAAGTCAGAATCACAAAGATAAGGATATCATAAGAGAAATTAAGCTACTCATTACTCATTTCTGCTTCTCTCCGTATGAATGCAGTATGTCTACATTCACACGCAAAATTCAGAGGTCTCTCATAAAATGTCTACATAAGTGAAGTATTAACTGGACACAGGAAGAAAATACTGACAAAGATATCCAAAAATCAGTCATTTTAGAGAGTACTACTCAAAGCTGCTGAATGAAGGCAGCATTTTACCTAAAACACTCTAAATTTTAATTCATAAAGTAAATATTAAATAATCATTACCTAAATCCACCTGATACAAATGCCACTGTCCATTCTTATAAGTGGATATATAACTATAACTTTCACTTGAAAGACTCAAACATCTCTTCTTCACTCAGTAGCTAAAAGTCTTTTTTAACAAACATGTCGCTTAATTTGATATCACTCGGAAGAAGCAGCAGTGCTATCCCACATAGGGTGACAAACAGAAGACTTTTGAACTGGATCTTGAATGTGGAAAAATGAACTGCTTTGTGCAAACTAACATGGAGCTAAAGGTATGGACTGTTCAAGAAAGCAATTCAATGAGGTTGGATGAGAAGAATATAGCTGAAGGTGCATATAGAAAGAAACACTGGTTGATAGAGGGCATAGAATTCAATGCCAAAATATGCCTATCTCCTAGACAGAATAAGCTACTGACGAGTTTTGAAGGTGATTTAACGAGAAGGATATTTTACCAAGCAAATTGGTTGAGTCATGAACATTGGTGTAGAGATTGGAAGAATATTGTAACTATCCCAGGGGAGGAATAATAAGCTAGGTTAAGGGGTGGAAAGGAGATGATAACATGCCCCAATTTTTATTCACTGCCAGTTATTTGCTGGGAGCCGCAGCCATGCACTCTGGGGCAACACTCCTGAGCCACGCTGTCCCTGCTGAATGACCTGAGAGGCAACATTTGCTCGGATAGAAAGAGGATGTCTCACCACTGTGATGTTTCCCCACTGTGATGTCTCCCCACTGTGACCTCCAAGTGAGAACATTTGAGCTCAGCACAGGCATGCAGCTTCCTGCTCTCGTTGCAAATGTTAGCACCTCCTGATCCCTCCAAGGCGCTGTTAGGAACACATCAACCTTGCCCTGTTCTCCCTGGTGCTTGAGATTGTAGAAGTAAATGTGCTACACCAGGATAGGCATCTACTCCAAGAGAGCCCCTGGTCCCAGCTTTTACTAACAGGTCTGATTTCTGTCTTTCTTTAATCTCCTACTGTCCTCCCTCAGATTTTGCTTGACTCGGCTGGCAAGCTACTACTACTAGTGTCAACCTGTTTATCTGAAAGTCATTACGAAGTGCAGAGAGATTTGGAACAAGATACTAAATTGAAGGATTTTTTGGAAATGTTTCAGGCCTCTGTGGCCCCACTTTGTGCCAACACTGTTTGGCTGGGTTTTACCCACTAGGGGATGGGTAACTGGGTATTTCACTAAAAATCTATATCCTTTTTCTTCTTCCCTCTCTATGCAAACCATTCCATTAAGCATACCACTGGGTATGCATTATCTTTATCTTTATACAGTGGCAGCATCCCTTTAGATTGTGTAAATTTGGGAGTTCCAGGGTCCCCTCAGTCTGCCCAATAATGGTGGGGCATTCTGTAAGTATTACTGAGCCCTTAATCTGTGGGATATTTGCTAATTTCACATACTGTTAAATTGAATTAAATTTGGTGTCCACAAAGAATTGGAAATTGGCTTGGCAGAAAATATCTACACATTTGGTGTCAAAAGTGTTGTAAGTATATAAACATCAATTATTTAATAAGAAAAAGTCACAAGATTAGAATGGAAGAAATGAAACTATCTTCATTCACAGATATCTTGATGGTCTATGTAGTAAATCTGATAGAACATTAAAAAAAAAAAAGCAATTACAGCCACTAAGTACATTTACCAAGGTTGCAGAATATATACGATCAAAAGAAAGCTCAACTATTTGCATATCATATCAAGGAACAAGTAAAATTTAAATTTAAAAAATACATTATTTACAATAGACTCAGTGTATGAAATACAGTGTTTAAGGGTAATTCTGGGGAAAATATGTGTGTTATAAAAGCATCATAGCCATTTTGGTCCAACTATGCTATCAACAAAACTTCCTGAGTGGGGGACAGCTGGGAAGAAGTGAGGTGGCTATACAAGTGCAGGTGGGCAAACAAGGGATGGTCGCATACATGAAAGGAGAGACACAGAGACATTTGAAAGAGATAATTGGAAGAGACATGTAGATGAGAGGCAGAGACAATGGCAGCCATTAGCTTTACCTCATGGTAGACTGTTATATGCTTTGAACTTGGAGTCTTTCCTCTGTCCCAGCTCTGCATATAGAATGTGAAATAGCACAACCACTCAAAAAAAGTTTGACAATTTCTTTAAACGTTAACCATAAATTTGGTGATGGGAAACCCAAGGGGATTGCAACTGAGATGGAAAAATGCACAAAAATATGTAAAAATAAACTAATATAATTTTTTAAAAGTTAAACATAAGATCCAGCTAAATCACTCATAAGTTTTTACCCAGAAAAATGAAATCACGTGTTCACAAGGATAATTGCACAAGAGCGTTTACAGCTTTATATAGTCTAAAACTGGAAATAACCTAATGTTTATCCATGAGAAAAGGAATAAACAAACACAATGAAACACTATGTTTCATTGTGCCATAAAAATATTGAACTACTAATGTATGATATATGACTGTATCTCAAGATCCTTACGCAATGTGAAACAAATCAGACCTCCCAAAAAGTACAAATTGTATAATGACATTTACAAAAGAATCTAGACAATGCAAACTATTAATGGTATAAAGTTACAGAAAGCAATTTAGTGATTGCCTGGGTAGGGAAGGGAGCAAGAGTTTTGGGTTAGGAGTACAAGGAAACTTAAAAAATTTCTGAGCAGGGAGTGGACAATAACATTGTCTTGATTGTGCATATGGTTTCATAGGTACAGAACTATGTCAAGCTTAAATTGTACATCTTAATTCTGTACAGAATGAAACAAACTGTGCACTTAAAATAAGTTAAGTCACAACAAAGTTGTCTTAGATGTTCATAAATATCAATCATGAATAGATGTATATTACAGTGAATAACTTTCGAGCCACTAAAGGTGAAAGAAATAGAAAATTAACCAATCCAGCAGAGTAAATTAACCAATCCAGCAGAGAAAATTAACCAAAGCAGAGTAAAAGAAATAATAAAATAGGTTCAGAGGGAGAAAACAGTAAATGAGACATAAAAAATAAGACTGTAGAAATACAATGAAATTTGTAAGTAGTTACAAAAAATATATTTTATTTTCATGCCATTAAAATTTTTATTAAAAATCCAGGCCCTCCCTGGTGGCACAGAGGGTTAAAGCACAGCACTAAGAAGCTAAAGCCACTTCAGCCTTCAGCATGATTTCGATCCCCACCTCAGGTGATCCACATGGCTCCTGACCCGCCCACTGCTCCCCTCAGCAATGTACTTCAGGGATCTACCTGCTCTGCTCCCCACTCTGTCTCTGGTGAATCCTCTCACCACCCCTGTACCTCTGACCTCCACCCCAGTTTTGTATGCATAAATAAATAAATCTTTAAAAAAAATCCTTTAAAGAGTTAATAAAACTTGACTATATCTTTTATTTTTCAAATAGTTTCTTCATAAAAGACATACCTAGAATAAAATGTCACAGAGGAGCTGAGAATAAACAGTGACATACCAGGCAAATACAAACCGTGAACAGCTGGGCTGAGAGGCCAAAGAAGGAAGTGAGCTGTTCAGATTTCCCATTAAAACACGTGCTCACACACACACACAAGAAGTTACAATCAACTAGAGGAGTGTAGTTAGTGATCTCCAGTTGCTTACCTCCAAGATCCACTTCATCTTTTGAGCTGAGGCTATAATCTTCGAGTGTGACTAAACTTGAAAGATTATCAGGGTTGGCCATTTCTGCTTAGGAAAGATTTCTTAGAAGCAATCTCTGCTTAAAGGCTTGTGGTTTGGCTAAAATATTGGTAGCTGTATATCAAGATCGGAGGCTCTTCCTCTTCTGTCCTGCTTCCTCCCCTTTCCTTTCACAAGTTTCATTGAGATCATGAAACTTGGCCTCAAACCTTTCCATCCCTTCTCCTCTTTCCTGCCCCTCTAATCTTTCACAGCTGTGACCTGTAGGCAATTAATTTTCATGAATGCATTTCAGCCTTCCTAAAGTCCCTAACTGATACTCCTGACTCAATGTCTAGATTTTGATTCAGTAGTTCTGTGCATTTGGAAAATCAATATAATTTTTTATTTTCTCAACGATTCTGATATTCAAATTTAGCGTACCTGAAGTGGATGAGTTTAACACATTTGTTTTCTGTAAAGTATAATTTAGCATTTAGAAACTATCTTAAAGTTTTACTATGGTGTCATTTACCATAGCTGTTTTGATATTAAGATGTAAACATTTGTTTATTTTTAAATAACATTTAAACAAACATTTCTTAATCTGCGAGCCTCACTCCAACCAGACATGTATAAAGAATTCTGAAAAGGCCAAGAACAGGATGATGACATATATGGAGCACATTGCTTGGGAATATTTATAAGGTGAAATGGGTTGTATTTTCAGCTAAATTAAAATAGTGCCAAGAAATTTTGGTTAAATACCATGTGTCAAGCATTATTATATTAGTTTCACTTCCAATAACAGACCGAAAAACCCTCTAAGATAAAGTAGAATGATCAAAAGGTCTGGAGTGATACAAACATATTAATATTATTAAACATAATAATAACAAAATAGTTATCTTTAATGTTTCAATGGCATAATAAAAGAATGAATGGTTTTAATTTCTACTATGATAAAAAATTATTTTCCTTGCTGTAAAGAAGTAGCCTAATTTTCTTTCATAAAATATATTTTATAGGCCCTCCCTGGTGGCACAGCAGATTGAAGCACAGCACTAAGAAGCTTAAGTCACGTCCACATGAGTTCGATTCCCTCCTACCCTGGAAGAGATCCACATGGCATGGCAGACCTCTCCTGACCTGCCCACTGCTCCCCTCAGCAGTGTACTTCCTCGATTCTGCTCCCCACTCTGTCTCTGGTGAATCCTATCACCCTCTGCATCTCTGGCCTGTACCCCAGTTCTGTATGAATATATAAATAAATCTTTAAATATATATATATATAATAAAAATATATATATTTTATAATACTATCAATATAACATGATTAATATCATATTCCCAGAATTTGATTGTTAAAAAAAAAAGTAGAGGAGGCTCATGTTGTTTTGTGGCCATTCCTTTGCTCATAGACCACATTTTATACTTTTCTAAGTGAAAGGTTCAGTGCAGTCAGGAAGACACAAAGAGACAGCAAGGCCAGTAAAACCAAAAGTGGGTTTATTTCTGCGCTCCCAGGTGAGGTTAACTGACCCCAGAGTTGAGGTCAGAGAAGTCTCACTGAGGGAGGGGTAAAAGGGGTTTTTATAGGCCTAGGTAGGGGGGAGAAACGGCCAGGTGGAAAATTTTGACAAGGAACTGGAACTTATTTTTCTGCCCCAGCTTGTGTTAACCGGTGGTGACAAACAAGTCTTGAGGTTCTTGCTCCCGAATATCTGCTTCTGCTGGGGGAAACTTCTCCTTCCATGGGCATAGGTTTGGCTGGTGCCTGACCCTGACCCTAAGTACTCCATGATGCAATTTAGCTGCATATATAGACATCTGTTATTTATGTACCATAAAAATGTTACACAATTTATCAAAGCTACAAATGTTGAGTATTAGCTATTGTTGAGGGTGAAGACGAAATCATCCTGTACCCTTTTTGGTTCTTCTAGATTGGCATATAATCAAATAAGCATCAGATAAATTGAAAGAAGAAAGCATTAAAAAATGATAATAACGTGTGCCTCCTGTATACATGGGTGAGACTGAGCATGACTGAGTCATTGCTTCAGATTAAACTTTAAAAAGCTGAATTAAGACAAATGAGGTTGTGGGAGGAAAGCAGGAGGTCTGTCAGGGAGTTTACCAAGGAAAGCACAACAAACAAAGGTATGAATATTTAATTTTTTCCCTTCATTGAATAGTGATAAAGACAAGTCTTCCAGTATAGTGAAGACACCCTAAGATCTAAATTTCTTTTTCAAAAGCAACCTCCATTCATTCTAGAGAGCACCTGCCATGATTAATCTTTTTTGTCAAAAATACATATTTTAGAACTGGCAGATTTTTGCTCCCCTGTGATAACAATCCTTCTGTGAATATAGGAGTTAAAGAAGAAGTTAACATGCTCAACCTGTTTCTCTCAGGATCTCTTTCTCCCCTCCTTTAAACATGACAGGAAAATATAAATCCAGTTTTATTAAATAGAAATTTTTATTATAATCTTACATCATGTTACAAACAGTTTGATTGGAAACAGGAATGGGCACTCTGCAGATGTTAAAATAACATTATAAGAAAAGGAAAATACAATCTGGCTGCAGGGAATGTAAAATGATACAGTTTGACATATCAACCAATAATATAACTGTGCAAACCTTTTGACCTAGCATCCTACTCAAGGAAATTCATTCCACAAATATGACAAACAAATATTGGGATAAATATACAAGAAACATTCTATGTGGTAATAATAGTAAAACAAACAATAAAACAATCTAAAGGTCCACCAGCAGGGGTGTGGTTAATTAAATTATGACATATTCCAAACAATGGAGTTTTACATAGCCACTAAAAAGAATGAGGTAGCTCTGCCTGTGTTAATATAAAAAGAATCACCAAGATTACTAATATGTATTATTAATTTTCTGTAAATACAAGGCAGCATTATGGAAATGTCCCCATTTGTTTTTGACAATGACATATACATGAATTATAAATAGACATAAAAAGTACCACAAGTATACAGGCTTGTCATGGCACATTGATATTTTCTGGACAAATACATAAACACTGTTAAAGACTCCATAGTCTGTATAGTCCTGTATAGTTATTTCTTGAGGAAACTTGGTTCCTGTTATCTACTGTACCGAGCAATTTGAATATTTTGTGATGAGCATATGATTTCTTTGTAATATCTGTTCGTCAGAGAACTATCTAGTAGCATTTAAGATTCTAAAATTTCAGTTACATAGAGACATGAATGCAAGTCCTCTAAAATGCTCCTTGTCTGCGAAGAATCTTTGAAATGTTCATTTTAAGAATAGGTCTTCCATTCTAGAACACTAAGAAAATTAAAACAGTAATTGTACTATGTCTTGATGTCTTTGTCCTGAAGGTAGGCTCCAGTAACTTATTTAGTACGTTGACCCCACCCATCCCCTTCTCTTGTAACATCTAAGGTATCTTCACCCTGCTTGTAGTATCATACAGTGGATTGTTCTTCCCTGTGTAGCTGGCGTAAGGCTGCATTTCATCCTAAGAAAGAGCACAAAGTTAAAATCAATGCAAGACAGAAGTCATTACAGAGATGACATATTCCTAACACGTGCCATAGCTTTGGGGTCTTCCAATAGTGTTTATATTTGTTTCTCTGGCTTCCATGAACAAGAGCAAAGTTTTCTAATATTTTATTAAAAATATTTATTGATTACATAAATCTTGGTGTCATAAAGGTTTGTGAAAGTGGGAATGGACAAGAGTGAGGTGATATGACAGGTATTTCAAAGGAGAGGGTCAAAATTTAGTAAGCTAATGGCAATTAATTAAGGAATTAGGTAGATTTTAAGCTAGGTTAAGAGGCAAATGACAAATGCTATTGAAGAGACAAATGGAATTGAAAAAGTGAAATCAAGAGTTAGAGAGGTTTCACGGTGGAGGAAACACCGATTTCAGTTTCTATGAAAACTGCAGTCTGAAGAGGCAAACGTTATGTTTTGCAGGATGAAGTTCATGAAATGAAAATCTAGATTTGATATTTAATATTTAAATATTAAATAGTACTCGGTAGATAGTTGATAAACTAAGTACATCTGACAATCAACATTGTCAAATTAGAATTTTTACTTTTAAATTAAAACACTAATAATAATGCACATTAGAAATTACATGGTTAGAGTTTCAGAATCTATGGCTTAAAGTTTGAAAATATTCTTTTTAATTTCATCTTACCTCCCCAACAACTAGAGTAACTTCTCTTTTTTTCAATTTACATTTACTGAAAAAATAAAAATAAGATGGAATAAATGGAGGCAATGTCATTCTTTAGATTGAACATAGAAAAACAAAAAATATCCAACTGACAGTAGTTGTTCACTTTGATAGAAAGCATAATAAGGCAGAAGTGAATCACCAGAATTAAGCAAAGAATGCTGCTTGTAGTTAACATACCCCAGTAAGATATTTCTGCATTCTGGTGAAGAAAATGAAATTATACAACAGAAACTACTTGAGGAAATCAAATATAAATGATACCTGTTCTTTGCATACAAAATAAATTACTGTACTTCTTTTCCAAGTTATGAAATTAACATCCATTGTTAGCTCCCAAGATCATGCTGTATATGGCCTAATTCACTATTCTTATCTGCAAAGGTAACCTAACAAACTCCCTCTCATCATTCAGAATATTTTATGCATAACAAATTTAGGATATGCTTCGTATTTATGGGAGAATTGATGTTAACTTTCTAATTTGACACAGACAGTCAATTCTATATTTAAGAATAAAAACATCAGTCAATACCTGCAGAAGTTGTTTTTCAAAAGCCAAATGATCCCCATAATGCTCATGAAAATAATAGGGACACTTACACACATAGAAAGTAGTAATTCATGTTTTGGGTAACCTGTAAATACAGATACAAAAGTATGTGGTTCAACTGTGTTACATTTAGAAAAGGGAATATTATTCAGCACTAAAAAGAAATGTGCTATCAAACTATGAAAAGACATAAAATGAAGCTTAGATGCATATTACTAAGTGAAAGAAGTCAATGTCAAAGGCTAAGTACTATATGAGTCCAAGTATATTGACATCAGGAAAAGGCAAAACTAAGGAACAGTGAAAAAATCAAGGGTTGTTAGAGGTTAGAGTGGAAGGAGGAAGAAACAGGTGGAGCATAGAGAATTTTTAAAGCAATCAAATCACTCTGTTTTATACTATAATACTGGATACACTGCATTATACATTTGTCAAAATTTACACACTGTATACCTTGCATGAAACCTACTGTAGACTATGGACTTTGAGTGATAATGATGTGTTAATGTCTGTTCCCTGATTATACTAAACATGCTGTGTTACATGGATGTAGATAGAAGGAGAAACAGGTCACATGTTCGGCCCAGATATGGGAACTGTGCACTCATTTTTGCTGTGAACCTAAAAATATTCCTAAAATTGTCTATTGAAAAATAAATACAGGTCCTCCCTAGTGGGCAATGGGTTGGGACACAGAACTTCAGGTAAGCCGTGGCCACTTTGGTGCCAGTTTGATCCCTGGCCCCAGGGATGGTTCACATGGTGTAGCAGACCTCTCCAGGCCCACCCGCTGCTCCCCTCAGCAGTATACTTCGTCTATCTGCCTATTTTGCTCCCCAGTCTGCCTCTGGTGAAGCCTCTCACCCCCCTGCACCTCTGGCCTGCACCCCATCTCTGTATGAATAAATAAATATTAAAATACATACATACACAAACTCATGGTTCAAGGTTATCTCTCAGTATTTGAAATTCAGATCTGTGGTTTTATTTTAAACATGTCAGACCCACTCATAGTCAAATAATTGTTATAATCAAATTGCTCTATGTAATAATCAAATTACAGGTTCTCGGGTTTCCAGCAAGATATTTTCTTCAGGACTTTGACTTATGTATAGACTCATGAATGGAGCAGTCCTATAGGAAGGATGTGAAATTTGGACCTTACAGTAATAGCAGTGTTTCTCACCTCCCAATAGTCAGGAAAATGTCAGGAAAGTAGTTGGAAATCTGAATTCTGAAATCACCTTTCTACCAGGGCTCAGTAAATGGTGTTACACCCTGTTCTTTACAATAACAAATTATCACTTTTAAAATGATATTGAACTATTGAAAAGTGGTGGTTTAAACACATGGGGTTTTCTCTTCTCCATCCTGAAAGTATGGGTTTATTTCTGGATTTAGCACTTAAACAAAATTTACATATTCAAAAATAATATAAATACAGGCGATGTGATTTAATCAGAATTGTTATATTATAGTACAGAAAGGAAGAAGGAAAATTAAACCCTCATCTATCATCAGTGGAAGTGGGTACATAATGTCTAAAGGTAATATATTAAGAAATAGCAGTGTGTATGCTTTATATAAAAGAGGGAGTTAATAATTAGTGGAAACACTTGAGGATTACTTACTTCTGCTAAGCTGAACAAGGCTGGAGAAGAGGGTTGGAGGGGCAGAGCCAGGGCTAATGCCTTTGACATAGCAGGGAAGAATATTGACTTTCATCTATAACAGTTATGCTGACTATTCTAATATTTGACTATTATTATATTTAGCTATAATATCTTCAGCTAAATATTATACTAATATTTAATAACAACAAATGAGAGTAAGATGTGGGCAGAGAGTAAAGTGGTCAACTATTTAGATGTTATGATAGATATTAGGAAATTTCACTGGAAGAGCCTGGAGAAAAAGCTTCTATCAGACTAAGCATTCAAAGGGATAGTTTATAGATAATCTTATGTTCCATTTAGAAACATAATTATTTGCTTAAAATCATACTTCACCATAAATATTCATTAAAAGTATGCTACTCAAACCCATTTACTGTAGAAGTGAACAATAAAATTAGAACATGCCACCTTCCATAATACGACTTTTATAATAAATTTAGATATTCTTCTAAATATGTATCTTTATTTTGAGGAGGAAAGGGGAATAAAAGTGAAGATGGGAAGAAAACTCTTGAATGAAATTTCTCTGCACACTTTTTTCTTCTTAAGATCGCTTCTCTGAAAGGACAAAAATTTGAGCAAAAAACTAGAAAAATGACTTACCTTGACTCAACTCTATAGACAGACTCTTGTTGCCAGTCAAGTGGAAAATAGAGCAGGACACAGCAGACACATCCCCTTCTGCCCAGTGGCATGTACTCTGGACAGTCACAGTGTCATTGTCCCACGGCTTTTTCTCAGTGACACAGTCTCCCCCTGGGGTCCAGGAGATCCGTGCTGCCGGCTTCCCCGCGACTGCCTTGCAGACTGTCGTTCTGTTCTTGCCCAGGTCCAGGCTCACCTTCGGGGGCACTGCAGAGAAGCAGGGGAAATGCTTCAATCTTTACACAGGGGATATGGAATTTAGAGAGACGTTTGTCTCAGCCCCTATCGGGCTATCTGAAACACCTCAGCCTCTGGTGTTCCTTACCTGACACCTGGAGGTGATATCCATAGCGGAAATTCCCCTCAGCTGTTACCAATTCACAAGTGTAATTCCCATCGTGAGTGAGGGACACTGGATCAATCTGCACGGCAGGGTTCTGGTCACGTCCGGAGATCCAGGTTATTCTCAGGTCAGAACAGTTTCTTTCATGGGTCTCTTTTGTATCTTCCCTGTAATCTCTGGTGCAGGGAAGCCTGTCTCTAAGGAGTATTGTCCATATTACCATCATAAGGCTGCCCTGGACCGGAGGGCAGCAGAGCACCACCTTTGTGCCCTCTAGTGCAAGCAAGGGTCTGTTAACTAGACACACACACAAAAGGAGAATAATAAAAGAAATGCTTGATAAAAACTTCTTGTTTTAGATATATCCACAGCATATTATATGAAGTTGAACCACATATTATTGCTGGTGATCTTCTCCCAGAAATATTAGACCTACATAGTAAAGTAATAATCATGAAATATGTATGTGTGTGTATTTATATAATATATATAAGAACACATATACATAATGTAGCAAATACATCAAAATTTAACTAATTTTGTCCTGTATTTATGCATTGTTAAGAGAAAAACATTGTTGGGCCTCCATGGTGGTACATGGGTCTTAACACTGTAAAGCCATTGCCAGCCACAGTGGCAAGAGTTCAATCACACATGGCCCAGCAGACCTCTCCTGTCTTACCCACTGCTCCCCTCAGCAATGTATTTCAGTACATCTGCTTGTTCTGCTTCCCAGTTTGTCTCTGGTGAATGCTCTTAACCACCCCACCTATGGCCTACACTTCTTAATTGCATAAATAAGTAAAATAAAGCTTTAAAAAGAAAAAAACATTATTATAGATCTGACACTTTTGTTAAAGCATTTTGAAATTAATTCAGGACATTTGTTATTTATAAAATAAGCAAATGAGAAAACAGGACCTATTCAAAGATAAAGATAATGTTTTAAATCTACCCTTCAGTCCTGGATACTACTTGCTTTATCACCTGACTCATGCTCTTCAGGAAAGAAAATAGAAGACTGAGTGATGTGCTTTTCTTCACTTATGTTTTTATGAAAGAAAAACAAACCAGTAACATTAGAGATAAATTCCTGTCCCTATGTGTGACATTTGAGGCAAGCATAGATGTAGAAAGTATATGTCACTTTTATTTAAAATAACCAAGAGGATATTAAGATTGACAAGTGGAAATTATTTTTATTCTAAAAAAAGTAATTACAAAAGTGAGGATGTAAAGCAGTGTGGATATTCTATCAATCACTCTTCCCCTATGGCCACAATTCTTACGTGAATGCTATCATTTCACTTTTTCTTCAACCTGCTCTTTTTTTCCACTCCCCACACTCACTGGGCTGGGCACCTGTCTAACAAGTATATTCTCCATACCTTGCTGTGATCAGCTGGGCAATTACTCTTACTTCACTGAGAAGATAGTCAGTAGATTCTTATGCTTGCTCCAAAGCCATTAATTATATCCCCATCTTTTCTGCATGTGTAAAGGATAAAAGGGCTCTCATACCCTCCCTCAGAGAAACACAGCTGCATTCTAGCACCCCGTGGTCCATCTGGGGCAACAGTAAGGTCTGGGACCTGGGAAGAGTCTTTTAACTGCAGCTTCTCCCTTGACTCAAAATGGAGGGAGGCATTGTTCCAATTAGTGCATAAATGAAGATGAATGATGGGAGCAGTTATACATAAGGGACACCCCAGCACACAGAAAGAAAAAAAAACCCTTAAAATCCCTACTTTTTCACTACTCAGAGCTTCCTATTTTCTATTTCTTTCCATGTTCTAGTTTGGAGATCTGCTCATGCATTCTTATGCAGTGACTTTTGCTCCCTAATAAACTTCGTTACTGTTTTATTCTAGTGCTTCATGAAATTCTTTTCACAACGGACACCAAGCACCCTCGGGTGTAATGGCTTACAACATATCCTTTGTCTACAAATATCTTCCAGCCTCACGGACAAATTCCAACCGCCTTTTGGGTGTTTCATTTCTCATCTCACTGTTCTACCTTAATGTATGTCCCATCACCACACACCTATATTACTAAATTGCCTGCTAACTTCTATTCCTGTCACCAAACTCTCCTCTCTTCAGTTCAAATCTCATTTGTAGCCAGTACATCATTTCATAACACAGATGTGATTCACTCACTGCATGAAAAAAGCTTAAATGTCTTTGAGTTGGCTTTGCAATCCTTTTTCAAATTGACTCAACATGGCAATCTTACACCCCTAAATTCCCTCATACTCAAGCCACATTTGCATTTTTGTGTCTCTCCTCACACTTTCCCACAGTGTGGGTGCCCCAAAGAGAACTCACTATCTACTGAAATGGCCTTTAAGACCCAGATCAAAAGCTGCAGCCTCTGGGAATCCTTCTCTGAGGCTCAGTGTTTCCCCACTCCCTCCTCTGTACTCCTACTATACAGGATGGGAGGGCTTATTTCCTCTGCTCCCTAGTAAACTTCGTTGCTGTCTCAGTTCCTCACAAGACTACAGTCCCTGAGGGCCCTCTGACAGCCCTGTTCATCGCTGTGTTCCCCATAAAACCCAACACAGTACCTGGGTGACAAAGTGCCATAGTTTCCAAATGGAATTGAATCCTTTAAGGAAGGACCAGTGGGGTCACTCAGTGCTACAGGTCACCATGTTCTCCAAACTGCAACAAGGTTGGTCCTCAGACTATCAGTGTGTTTCTATTCACCTCTCCAGTATCAGCCTCTATATTTAAAAAAAGAATTACCTTCTGTAGGTTGTGCTGAATCATTGATTTTCTTCAGAGATGAACTAAGTACTGAAGCAGAAAATATTCAAAGACAATTAAATTAAATCAATTTGATGCATTTAGATGAAGTGGAAATCACCATTTCTCCCTAAAAACTTATACAAAACACATAAGAAAAGCAGTTGACCATAACTAAATTTCACAAAAATCCATGCAAAACAGAAATTAGAGTTAAATGGAAAAACACATTAAAATTTAGCAATTACATTTACAAGCTATTAAGTTTTGGAGGCATTGAAAGGAAAATATAAATTGCTATCAGGAATAAGGAATGCAAGTAAGGTATAGTGGGAGAAACTAGAGGAGAAAAATCAAGATTGGGAAACTTCCCCGAAAAGGTCAAAGAGTAAACATTTGAGGCTTTACTGTCCATTTGGTCTCAAATGGTTTACAACTCTGCTGTTGAAACAAGAAAGCAAATAGATAGATAGAGAAGCTACCTTCTCTGTAATTAGACAGCTAGACAGACAGATAAATAGAAACATTTATAAAATGAGCAGGGATTTGTTCAAAAAATTTATTTTCCAAGTGCATGTAGTTGGCTGGATTTTGCCCAGGAACTATAGTTTGCTGATTTTAAATATATAATGTTTTGTTTTTCTAGTTTCTTACCTGAACAACAATTAAAAAGAAAACAATAAAATTTTATTCAATATTCTACTTTCTCTGATTACCTCACCTTCAAAAAAAAAAACTACTTCTCCATTACGAACTCCATTAAGTTCTCCCTCAAAGTGAATACGTTTCCTATTTTGTTTTTACTGTAACAACTCCTTTCCTTTCTTTCTTCTTTCCCTCCCTCCCTCCTTCTTTTCTTACCTTAGGTGAAAGAATGGCAGGAATAGAGGACACTCAGGAGGATTCTACCGAAATGGAAAACTACAGTGATTCTGCCCCCTTCCCAGCTGAGGGAGCCCTCTGGTGATCAGAAGACAATAGGGACCATCCACGCATGCTATTCGTGTTTAAGATCTTCTCATGTGGGCATTTTGGTTTCTGCATCCTGGCCCCTACCCCCATTTTAAAAGCATAGGTTGTTGTTAAAAGAAAGTTCAAATAATTCATCCTAGAGAGGAGCCTTTTGAAAGCGATACTTAAAGACTTTTCCATCCTCAGATTTTACTTCTGTGACTTCATATGCACTGTAGAAATTGTTGCCTTTAGTGACAAGGTAAATGATTTTCATTGTTTGAGTTGTTTAGGTATTGCCATTTCCATAGAGCTTCATTTCAGTCCTCTCATCTGAAAATACTGTTGATTTGCCCACATTAATTCCTACCAGATATTAAATCAGTGTCCAGATACTGTAGGATTTTGTTAGAAGATCCTGGTCTTAAATTAAGTCATTCTTCAAGACTTACTTGAATGATGTCTTCCAGCATTATGAGTGTCCGTGATCTGCCTGGCTGGGGTGTGGAAGAGATCTTCTTTTTAATAAAGGTAAATCTTGAGTGGAGGTACAGGGAGAAAATGGCCTGTGGAACGAGACACCCAATCCTCCTATAATCAAGCAAAATCTACCATCCAAAAAACACTGAGATGGAAAATTAGCAAACTACCTCTACAACTTCTCATTCCAAAGGTGTGCAAAAATGATTTTTTTTTATTACAAAGTTTATTTTTACATCATTTTGCACATTTTTTTTTCCATCTCGATTGTAATCCCCACGGGTTTCCCATCACCAAATCACCCCTGTGCCACCACCACAGTCCCATGCATTTCCCTCCCCCCCCCCCCTCCCGTTTTTGATCCCATTCCCCACTCCACTCCCACAAAATGTCTCTGGTATATGGTTTTTCATTATTTTTGTTATTTTCTCGCCTGGTCCATTATACTCCTTCTATGAGTGACACCATCCGGTATTTTTCTTTCTCTTTCTGGCTTATCTCACTAAGCATGATCTTTTCCAGCTCCATCCAAGTTGCTGCAAAAGACATGTGTTTCTCTTTTTTGGTTGCTGAGTAATATTCCACTGTATATATGCACCACATCTTTCTAATCCAGTCATCTACTTTTGGGCATTTGGGCTGCTTCCATGTTTTTCCAATTGTAAATAAAGCAGCAATAAACATGGAGGTACAAGTATCTTTTTCAATCAGTGTTTTTGTGTCTTTTGGGTAGATACGTAGGAGTGGGATTGCTGGGTCGTAGGGAAGCTCCATGTTTAGCAGTTTGAGGAACCTCCAAACAGTTTTCCATAGTGGTTGTACTAGTTTGCATTCCCACCAGCAGTGTAGGAGAGTTCCTTTTTCTCCACATCCTCGCCAACATTTGTTGTTGCTAGTTGTTTGAAGATGTGCCATTCTCACTGGGGTGAGGTGGTATCTCATTGTGGTTTTAATTTGCATCTCCCTTATTACGAGTGATGTTGAACATTTTTTCATATGCCTGTTGGCCATCTGCATTTCCTCTTTGGAGAAGTGTCTTTTTAGCTCTACTGCCCATTTTTTGATGGGGTTGTTTACTTTATTTTTGTTGAGTTTCATCAGTTCTCCGTATATTTTTGTGATCAGTCCTTTATCGCTACTTTTGTGTGAGAAAATGTTTTCTCAATTAGTGATCTTTCTGTTTGTTTTTAGTAATGTCTCTTTTGCTGTACAGAAGCTCTTTAACTTGCTGTAGTCCCATCTATTTATCTTTGCCTTCACTATTGTGGCGTTGGGTGCTCTGTCTTTAAAGATGTCGCTGAAGTGTATGTCGTGTAGTGTTTGACCCATCTTTGCTTCTAGGTATTTTATGCTTTCCATTCTTATGTCTAGGTCTTTAATCCACTTCGAGTTGATTGCAAAAATGATTTTTACAAGAGGAAAAATACGCTTGTTTTCATAAATATTCTTCTGTTTACTTTAAAAACTTCAAAGTTAGTTGTTAATACATGGCTCCTTTAATTTTATTATTTTGAGTCACAGCTAGTTGCTACAGAATTCCAATTTCCTATCAAGTATCATATTTTTGATGAAAATAGAAGGTATCTTTCTTATTCAGTCTTTCTTGCCAAAGTGTATGCAATGAATCATTACAATAACAATGAAAAGCTTCAATTTGTGCTCCTGTGACTTCTCTCTTTAATTTACTCATATGAAGTCAACTTTCTTTAAAATTAGAAAGATTATAGGTTTACATTTTTATCATCAGAAGCCTAATTTAATTTTCACAGTGCATATGTAGAGACTGAAACAAATGTGATTTTTTTAATCACATTTATTGTAGAAAAGTAACTTACTTAATCATATTGTTTTTCTAGGGCTTAAATATAAAACCCCATAAACTTTGTCATTTACACAACAGAAATTTCTGGAAGCCAGGATTCTGGAATGAGGGTGTCAGCAGACCTGTGTTTCTCTCAGAGGCAAGACTGCTTCCTTGCTTCTTCCAGCTTTTGGAGGCTGCCAACAAATCTTGCTGTTCTTTGGCTTGTAGCCACATCTTTCCAGTCTCTGCCTTCTCCTTTGAGCCCCTCTTCTTTTCACTTTTATAAACACTTGCCATTGAGGTAGCATCTACTCTAATCCAGGATAATCCCACCTTCATTTAATTGCACCTTCAAAGACTCTTTTTCAAATACAATCACATTCATAGATTCTAGGCAGGTATATCTTTTGGGGGACCACCAGTCAACCCATGCATCATTCCCACCTTGAGATTGATAGCATACAGGATTATTTTACTTGTTTTTATTCTGCAGATAAGCTATCACTAGATTTTTTTTTTAATAGCTGTAATCAGCAAGGATATTTACTGAGACCAAGAATGCATTGTAAAACACTGGAATTATTTTTCTATGAAGTGTTCGATGTAAGGTATATGACAAGTATATTTGTTCCATATCTTATATGCAAAAGTGTTTTTTTTCCTAAAATGTAAAGAAAAATTAATAAAAGCAAGCAAAAATTTGGGAAAGAACAGGGTTGGGTGGGGGTTATGAATCACTAACACTTGTTAAAACCTACTTTCAAAAAATTCTCTAATGTATTCAATGAAAAAACTGGAATATGGCATAGTTTGTTTAATGTTTTCATTCTCAAAATAGGTACTAAATAAGCACAGAACTAATTTCAGCATTAAAAAATGTACCAGCATCCTCGAACATAAGCACTTTTATTTAGATAATTTTAGACAACAGCCCATAAACACATGTAAAACAATTCAAGATGTTAAATGTAAAAGCAGTATAAGCATCACTCACTCTCCTATTAGAATTCTCATCAAAAGAGGAATATTACCTGGAGTGTAGTTGCTGTTGCCTGCCTGCGTTGTTTCTGCTATGTGTGATGGCGTGGTACCATTAGAATCTGTACTTAGGCATTCTGAAAGGCATGAGGAGGAGAGAGAAATATACATTAGCACAGCTGACTTCAAGTTAAAACCGCATTATTTTCCAATTCTTCAGGCCTTTTTAATGCAGTTGCCCATGTAAACATAAAATATGACAAGCAAGCAAGGTCTCAGAAAAATTTGCTCTAGCATGAACTTCTGACTTGATCATCCTGCCTTCATGCACACCCCTACTTTAGGTGCAGGGTGTCTCTTACCAGTCTGCATGCTTAAATCAAAACATTACATCTCCCAAACTTATGTGCATTGAGTCTATCACCAATTATGGAAAAAAACTGGCACAGACATTTTCTATCTGGTGCAGGCACTACAAACACCAATAAGGAGACAGAACAGGTGTATTAGTTGTATTAATTTGGATGTTAGTATAGTATAAGAAAAATTTTTCTAAATGTTACTGAAATCACATCAAGCAAACAACTGTCTATTAACTTTTATGAAGCTAAGTTTAAGTAGAAATTGCTAATAAGTTTTTTTTTTGAGCAACAGATACTGACAAAGTACTCATCAGCCATAGAACATCACAATAAACGATATCATCTACTCTTCAACTTTAATTTCCAGTCAAAACAACAGGTATGTAAAACAAATGTAATGTAAAGTGCTCATTGTGGAGTTAGAAATATACAGTGTCCAGACACTAAAAAAAAAGAGATATTAAATTCTAAGAGAGTAGAGGTAAGACAGTCAGAACTGAATGATAATAAAAGTACAGCACGCCCTGTGATACGTAGCTACTGCAATATTCACAGTGAAAATAAGAATCAGACGTATACTTAGAAAAGCACCTTAACATAGATTATTGAGTTTTATCTCAGGGGAGGAGGCCGGAGGGAGAGGATAGAAAACTTGAGAAATTTTTTAATTGGCATTTAAAGAAAAGTATTAAGACATATGAGATTTTCAAGGAAATACAAATAGTTCTTTACTGCTATAAACTGAGAAAAAATGTGTGAACAGAGTAGAGGCTGAACGTTGGTAGCCTCTAGTTGTGGAAGGCACAAAACTAAAAAATATTGTGAAGATATGGTACACTTTCAGCAGGTATATCTGACCAGTAAGGAGAAACATCTTAGGTAAAATATAATGCACAGTATTATTCTGGGGGAATTTTTAATATAGTAATCCTCTTTGCTGCCATTTTCTCTAACAAGTAACAGAATAAAATACTCTGTTAATATAATAATCTTTGAATATTTACACTAAGAATAGATTTTTTATAATTAATTTGGATGTGTCAATTACTTCAGTCTTTTCATACTGACCACTATGATTATCCTCATTTTGCAGATAGTGAAATGGGGATTCACAACAATGAATGATACCCTTTTAGCTATCACTTCCATAAAAGACTTCAAAATGATTGCCTTATTTAGTATCATTTTATCTTTTTTTTTAAGATTTCTTTTTATTTATTTATACATGTAATAGCTGGGGTACAAGCTAGAGGTACAGGGGGTGAGAAGAAATTAAATGTGCTGATGAAAATCTTCCCACCAAACTCCTTCAGAAAATAAACAAGAAAGGAACACTTTCCCCAAATCATTTTTTGAGGGTGGAATTAATCATTTGCCAAAAACAGAAAAACATATTACAAATAAATACCATGACAGAACAGTAACTTTCTGAAATAAGATAAAACAACGTTTACAAAATATTAACAAATCTAGTACTACATAAAAAGAACAATAAAACATGGCCATGTTAAGTTTATCCCAGAAATGCAAGCTGACTCAAAACTTGAAAATCAGGGTTGGAGAATAAAGGAGAAAAACAATATGATCATTGCAGTAAAAAACTGTAGGAATGGAAAGAAACTTCCTCAAACTCTCTTAAAGTTATCTGTGCAAACCCTACAGTTAATATCATACTTTATAATGAAATATTTTCCTTTTAAAATCAGGAATAAAGTAAGAATATCTGTTCTCAGTACTTCTTTTCAACATTGTACTATATAAAGAGATAAAGTTGTCTCTGTTTGCATATGATGCTGATTTTAGGAATCTATAAAACAACTCCACAACTAATCAGACTTAACAAGGTCAGAGTTTAAAAAGCTAACAACACTTTCCAATAATTACACTTTGATATACTAGAAACAAACAATTCCCAAAAATGAAATTTTAAAGATCAACTCCATTTACAATAATGCAAATTAAAAAAAAAAATTAGGAATAGATTTAACAAAAGATGTACAAGGCCTAAATACTGAAAACTATAAAATATTACTGAGACAAAGAATACCTAAGGATATGGAAATAAACACTTGTCCTTGGACAAAAAAACAATGATATCAAGAGGTCATTCCTTCAATTGGTCTAAAGAGTCAACACAATCTTAATCAAAATCTGATAGTCTTTTCTATGAAAATTGAGAAGGTGAATCTAAACTTTGTATTGGAATGTAGATCTAGATTTGCCAAAGCAATGTTTAAAAAAATAAATGAGACTGGAAGACATACTACCTAATTTCAAACTTCACTCTGAAGTTCCAGTAACTTAGGCTGCCTGACATTGAGTAAGGGATAGATACATACTTCCACAGGACAGAATAGAATCTAGAAATAGGCACATGAATATATGGCCTGTTAATTTTCAATCAGAGTATAAATGCAATTTAAAGGGGGAAAATATTTTCAACAACTGAGTAGCCAAATGCAAAAAAAAAAAAAAAAGAAAGAAAAGAAAGAACTTTAACCCTGAACTCCATTCACAAAACATTACCTTAAATTGGATTATTGACTTAAACATAAAAACTCTGACTGTAGAAATTCTGGGGGAAAAAACATGATTTCTTTGAAAGAGAAAAGAACAAACCATGAAATAAAATTAAATGTTATCAATTTTAAACTTAATTTCTTTGAAAAATAACATTAAGAAAATAAAAAGGAAATCACAGACTAGAAATTATTTACAGTCCACATAGTAGCAAAAGACTATTATCTAGAAAATGTGAAGAACATTTACAATTCAATAATCTGAAAATCAATTTAGAAATAAGGGCAATATAAATTGGCAAAAATAGAATGCAATTGAAAGTCTTACCTATTACTAATGGGAATGTAAAATACTGTAACTACAAAGGAAATGTTCTGGTAGCTTTGTTTTGTTTTTTCCAAAAGTCAAACATGTACCTACCACAGAGGCTGTCCATTTCAATCCTGGGTATTTACCCCAGAGAAATTAAGTCATATATCCACATAAAACTCTCATGTATGAATGTTCATAGTAGCTTTATTCACAGAGCTGGAAACACCCCAAATGCCAACAGATAAAATGGTAAGTTATCCATGCAATGGAATCCAACTCAGCAGTGAAAAGGAAAGCATGCAATACTGATGAATCTCAAAATCATTTTATTTAGTAAAATGAGACTGACGCAAGAGTACATACTACATACTACAGAATAGAATATAACTTACAAAATCCTACTAAATGGATGGTGGGGAACAGCAGGTCATGGGTGCCTACAGATGGGACAAAGGCAAAGTTGGACTGAACATATATAGGGAACAGTGTGGAAACATGGACAGCTCAGGGTCTTGTGTGTAACGCTGATTCATAGGTGGGCCTTGTGAATTAGACACAGGATCAAAACTCAGCCAATTTACCCTTTAAAATGCATGCAATGGGTTGTATATAAATTACCCTCAATTTCAATAAAAGTAATAGAAGAAACACCAGGTGTTGACACATAAAACATCAGTACATGCATCCATGCGAGTAACACAAAACAAAACCAAGCAAAATCCCTTGACTCTGAAAATCAAATTTAGAAAAAAAAAATCTTTCCCATCAAGTCAAAGTCATCAGTAGAAGTAAGACTGTTTCATGATTTTACTAGGAGTGAAACCTCTCACTCACTTTAAGCATGAGAACTTTCCTTTCCCAAATTGTCACAGTCAGATTGCCTGAGCAAGCACATCCCCAAGCCACACAGCTTAGCATGACTGTGCAGCGACTCCCAGGGCTCTCACAGACAGCACGTGGTTTTCATGAGATGTAAGTTTGTAAAATCCTGTGCTCAGTAACTGAAAACACTTAGAGGCATTTCTGACATTTTACCATTCCCAGTAAAAACCTCTGATTCCAAAATGGCTATGAACCAAAGCAGAATGGTAACCCCTACACACTCATAGGGCAACTTTAGTATTT